TTTTTTTTTTTTTTTTTTTTTTTTTTTTTTTTTTTTTTTTTGGTTAGGATTTAGACGAATATTTTGCACCTAAAATAAAGTGACAGGGGCTTGGAATCAAATTGAAATTTGAATATTATCATACTAGTATTTCAATTTTCAATTTATATAAAATAAAATATAATAATAAATTCACGAGGTCAAGAAAAATATTACAACTTTAAAAGAACAAAATATTCGTTTAAAACAAATGACAAAGTTTAAAGAATATTTTTATAATTTGACTTAGGCCGATCAAATATATTTAGTATTTGAATCTTAAAAATTTTCTAATAATTTCTTTCAACTTTTTTATTTTGTGTTAAATTTTAATTCTGGATCTAATAAATAGTCCATGAGTATTGAAAAAAAAAAATTAAGATATATCCTTCAAGCATGACCGCTATAAACAAATACATCATTATATAAAACTACATCATATCTCCCTCTCTCGAATTATTCCATGAATGATTTGAATTTTAAAAACGTTCTTGAGCAAAATAAATCCATAGATGAAATTAGTTTTATAAGCTTAATTTTTAAAATTTAAAAATCAAAACTAAATGGCTATCAAACGAAGAACTTGATCGATCTCGTTGTCAAGTATAACACTTGAAAATAAGTATCAAGGAAAAGGGAAGAAAATGACGCGATGCTGTGTGTGTGTGTATATATATATGACATGTATAATACTGATTCAGAATTTTCAGCTATCAAGTTTCATCAAATCTCCAGAAAATCAACGAATATGGAAAGCTTACCACACAAGGAGAGAATTAAAGAACTCATAAGAAATGAGATGAACAAACCATTTTTTTGAAGGTGTTGAATGATGGATTTCAAAAAATGTGCACTGCTCAATCATCACCTCGTTGCTCGTCGTCGTCTTGAGAATCATAAGGAACTTCGTGTCGAGGTCGATTGTACTTCTCCCGCAGTTGCCTTACAGGAATGAAATCCCCAGCTGTATCCACTCCATAGAATAAGAAGGAATTATATGGATGATCAAACCTCTCCTGCACATCATCATCATCACAGTCAGCTCATAAACCCTAGCAAAGTTCTAACTAATAACAGTGATGATAGAATTGAAGGAAGCGGACAGCCACCGTATCTGGTTCTTCAGGAACAAGAAGATTTTCCTCAGCAACTGCATCATAGAATATAGAAGAACAATCCACATCAATGGTCTTTAGACATATCACCACGCACATTGTAAAGAGATTAAGCCATGCAGGAGAATCAAACTACATTCAAAATCTAAGTAATTCTGTATCTATAACCATCAAGATTCGTAGAAATTTTACCATATGCAACCAGCAAATCCGGGTTTGTACGAACATCGACTAAAACCTGAAAATGAATTATTGGAGATGGAAGAGAGACAATCAGGCCCTGTTGACATTTTTATGGGTTTCATTTGTAAATATTGTCATTTCACATCTTTTAACACCAATGAAATTAATTAGGTGTGAGGTCTCATTCCTTGTTAGGGTGTAGAAACTTCTCCCAAGTAGACATGTTTTAAAACCTTGAGGAGAAGCCCGAAAGGAAAAGTCCAAAGAGGACAATATTTGCTAGCAGTGGACTTGGGCTGTTACAAAGAGTATCAGAGCCAGACACCGGACAAAGTGCCAACGAGGACGCTGCGCCCCCAAGGGGGTGGATTGTGAGGTCTCACATTGGTTGGAGAGGGAAACGAAGCATTCCTTATAAGGGTGTGGAAACCTCTCCCTAGTAGACGCATTTTAAAACCTTAAGGAGAAGTCAGAAAGAGAAAGACCAACGAAGACAATATTTACCCGTGGTGGACTTGGGCTGTTACATTATGACTCTTTTTAGTTTCTTTTGAAGGATTACTTATCCACTTTTAATCAATTTATTTTTTTCATTTGATCTTGCTTCTTATACCAACAACATGAAATAAAAATCAAAGAAGAAGAAGAGAAAGATGCATAGCAAGGTCGATAAAACCTGACCTGATAGAACGGCTGATTCGAACCTCGAGATAATTTTTCAACTTGTGCTATCTCCATCCAGGAACTTGTTTCACAACACACAGGATCCATTCCACAAATCACACCTCGGTATCCTGATACGAAAAATGTTTTTAGTGCGAGAAAGAGACACGAACAAACTGTATAAAAACTATAGCTGAACAGTGTGGCATATCGGAAGATCCAGGAGAATGATCTTTTTGAATATTACTATACAGCAATAAACCCTCTCATCCATTTCTTTACAAGTTTGTTTCACCTTCATTTGATTTCATACGCCAACAGGAAAATCCTACAAGATACCAAGAATGTTCTTACTTGTTCTAATTCTCTACATTACTCATTTTTTCTGCAAAGCTGCATTTCAATCTAAAAATCCATGATTGTCGCAACTCCAAGTTGTAATTTGATAGATCGCTCCAAATCCATGCCTTTTGCTAAAGTGGGTATCAATAATATTCAACTTGGCATATTTTTCCTCAAAGCAATTAAATTAAGCTGAAACACTGGTGTGAAAAGCATGCAACTATAATACCAAAAATCTTGTGCTTCGTTTTCTGTCCCAATCTAAAATTATATTCAGCACTTTCGTAAGCCAGAACTTTTGCAGATGCAGCTAGGGACTCAGTTTCCAGTTTGGAAATTTGATCCCGCAGCTGTGCAGCAAAAGTATAATTTTCACTTTCAATAGCCTTCTGCAAATCTGCACTGTATAAAGAGATAGAAAAAGGCAATAAATACCTGAGATCAAGAAGTTTAAATATTCCAAAGTACTATAAGATCAAAAGATACAATTTGATTGATATAACCTAAATACGAATATGGGTATAATATAAGGGAGAGTTTACCGTAAACGAATGATATGTAAACCTTTGTCTTGAACTTCGCTCTTTGAAGTCAACCCCCTTTTAGATTCTTGCTGCTTGATGACTTCTGCTTCGACCTTTAGCAAGTAAAACAGACAATTCAAAATATATGCCCCTATGAGTTATGAATAAGTCGTTTTATTTCGAATCAAGAATACCTCGGTTAGCTTTGTTCTCAATTCTTGTGCAATTTCATACTGTTCAATGTTCAATGCATACTGCAACACAACAATCCATACCAGGAAAATCTTGTTCGTGAGATAGCTATTATGTCACTTATACAAGCAAATCAATAACAAAACAACAGCCTGCTATACCTGTACTCGTGTTGCCAGGTCCAACTGGAAAAAGAAGATTAAAATATCATTGTTAGCGTTCTCACTGCGCTCTATACGAGCATCCAATCCTTGTCCACCCCCTCTGAACAACCATCCAGCTTTAACCTTAAAATTTCCTCGTTTCGATCTACAGGGTTGGCTAGCTAAGGAAAAGCTTCGCATGCGTTGATGCCAAAAGAATTGCCTGGAAGTTAAATGGGTTGGACTTGTCTGCTTGAAATTCTCCCTCCATGAAAGAGGTGATCCATAAACCTTTGGATCTCCCAAGGATGTCAGAGAGTGTATTGACAAATCCTGCACCATTTCTGCTAAAACAGGTAGATAGTCTTCCCTTGATTGAAGAAGAAAATTGTACCCTTCTTCCTCTACCTCTCAATAAAAGATCTTCACATCTGCAAAGTAGGATCAGCTTCAGCTCAGAGGCTGATTATTACTAGAGGACCAATGAGAAAATGAAACACTCACAAGGAAAACAGATTGGAAATCATTTAATGCCAAAAGACACGCATAAGCAAAGAATGATTATGAACAAGAAAACTAGTTATTCAAAGGAAAATCATTCAACTGACTTAAGCTAATAATCAAACTTAGAAGCTTTACTGAGAAACTTTACATTGCATAAAAAACATTAAGCGAAAACTTCAATAAGAATTTCTTTCTTTCTCAATGCTATACTTGCCGCTATTACTTGGAGAAATCGGCTCAGTCACAAACCGAGAACTACACATTTATCATAAATTCACTGGAAATCGCAAAAAATTAATCGGCATCGTATCGAACAGAAAGAACCGGAACTCCCTAATTTGGTTAACGACAGAGGGAAGATAAAAGCAACAAAGTTCATATACGATTTAATCCACGAGACGCAGCGGAGCTGAGAAATACAAACGATCTAACCTCGAGTCAAAGAAAAAATTATTTGATAAAATCCAAAAACAACGGAAAATCCAAGCTCAAATGCTGAAGAATTTCTTGAATTTCTATACTGCATTTTACAATTACTCCGCAACCAAACAGAGATATACTAAATACCGCAGATTAATTCCATTCACTGTGATTTTATACGATAGCGAAGAAAGAAAAAGGAGAATCTAAAGCTAGGGTTAGAAAGAAGGCCGGAAAACACACCTGAGAGCTGCCGGAGAAGCGACGAGGAGCAATCTTTCTGCAACCACAAATGATGAAAATTGAGTTTCAGCCAGTGGAATGGCCTCTTTCCGACGTTATCCGACATATAACGACGTCGTATTCTACGTGCTTTCTTTATTATGAATTAATTGTACAACAAATATCAAGTTGGTTACAAAATATATTTAGTTACTGAACTTTATTATTATATTTTTTCTTTTATCAAATTTTCTCCGCCCTTGATTTACTTACTTGACCTAGATCCAATGGTCTAATTTAAATTCAAACTTCACTCTATTTAAAACCATTTTATTAAAAAAAAATTGTGATATATTATTTTATTTTGAATGTGTCTCTGGCGGTATTGTTCTCGTGGCTTTTCTTTGGGCTCCCAAAAGGCCTCATTTCAATGGTAATAATATTACTTGATTATAAACTTATGGTCGTTCTCTAAATCAGCCGATGTGGGACATTCATCCAACACCTTCTCTCGAACAAAGTACGTCTCTCCTTAATCAAGGCTCAACTCCTTTTCTTTTGGAGTCCTTTGTTCGACATTTGACAATTCTATTGACATAGCTAAGTTTAAAGCGTGACTCTAATATTCTATTAGCTTAAACGACACTGTGACTCATATGGGTCACGGACTCATATATTTATAAATGTGTATAATGAGAATTACATTCTAACAAACCATACAATCACAGACTCTCCTTTGATTCATGGTAACAAACAAGTAAATTAGTAGATTATTTTATTATGTATATCTATTATACGTTTAACACCTAGTATCTCTTGCACGTGATCTTTTGACTTCGTTTCTTTCCTTATCTCACTTCTACTTTAGGGACACGTTTTACGAATTCCTCACCCTCAAATACAAAGTTGTTTCTTTTCAAATATTGTTTTTGCCCTCTAACATTAAGGACCGACATTCATAGTCTACTACTTGTTTTGAAGTGCTCGTTTTCAGCCAATACAAATTGCCTTTTCGTAGGTACCCTTCAAAGTACGTTTTGTTCTGTCTAGTCCAGGTTTCTAAGATAATTTCTCTTGAAACATCGGAACGAGATCGAAGCTCTCTTCTAAAGACAGATAAAGTTAACATCAGTAAAGTAATTTTTTTTAAGGATGGATAAGAAATACTCCGACCCTTTTAAATTTTTTTTATGAGTAATTAACAGTATAGCAATAATTTATAAGATCTAACCAAATTATACTTTGAACATAATTTAACTAGTTTAAACGTATTCGAGTGGATCGATAGATCGAATTTTTACTGTAAATAATTTAAATATTTTACTTTTTTTTTAATCGAAAATATGTCTTAAACTAGAGTTTACTTACTTTGAAGCATTTTTTTTCCTTCTACGTTTAACGTTTATGCAGTGGTTGTTGATTTACGCCATTAATTTGACTGAATTAATTTGACGGAAATAATAATAGATGATTTTACAATTTTGACCAAATCAGTGACCCCAAGTCAACGGAGACCGACCGAATTGACGAAGAAAAGGACTTGAGTATGTAATATGTAGAAAGAAAAATGGGGGCATTTTTGTCATCATATTCATTTTTCAAATCTCCACAATCATAAATCGATCCAATAAATAAATAAATATTTATTTATTTATATAATTACACGTGTACATGAATCATTAGTTTCAAAATTTTCAATAATACTCTCAATTAAAAATAATTAAAAAAATATTAAAAAATATTCAAACGTTTAAAAATAAAATTTAAAAGTACAAAGATAATTGATAAGATGGAAATAGACCGTGTAATAATTTTTTTTTTATAAAATGAAAGAATGTTAATATTATTTTTAAAAGTTAACGAGTATTTTTGAAATATAGTACTTTTTTCCTAATTGAACCAAGTTCGAGACTATTTTTTAAACGAAGTAGTGACGGTTCACATCCAAAACTAACCGTTATGATATTTATTAAAATTTTAATTACGTGATTATAATAACTTATAATACCAACTGTCTTCTTCTCGATATAAAACGAGAATTGATTAAAGTCGATTATAAATTTAAATCATCATATATGAAAGTAAATAAATAAATAAACAATAAATTACTTTTTTTTTTTTTTTTTTTTTTTTTTTTTTTTTTTTTTTTTTTTTTTTTTTTTTTTTTTTTTTTTTTTTTTTTTT